ACAACATGTTAAATGTGTATAATCTAAATTTAGACCGTTGGTTAAAATGTAGCCTAGCTAAACTAATATCGCCTTGATCTGTGAATGTTCTCACAATATCCAAAATAATAGATAAAACATTAGCCTTTAGTGTTATAAATAAAATCATAATTATAACAATAGATATCGCAATACACAACCAAATCTATGAGAATCATAGTTTTATATAGATAAATATTAATATATGCAATATTTAAATTATACTACCTGGCAATCAAACAAATAAATTAAGTTAAAATATTTTTTGTTATTGTATAATTGCATTCCGGATAATATATTGGCTAAATAAATTTGTTTCATGGTAACTATCTTAGCTATGAATGGAGTATATGGATTTACATTGTAGATTGGTTGCAATTCTAATACGTCGCTCTATTGGATTAGCAAGTATTAGAAATTATATATAGATGTAAATAAATAATTAAAATGATTTATGATTAAGACCATTCATATGGTTGGTATTAGAATAAAACTAATTGCTGTTAATAATATTTAAAATTCTCATTAAATCCTAACATTAAATCAAGTATCCTAACAAATAGAGTTTAAAGCATATTTTGCTAATAATTAAAATATTATGCTAAATTAATTATTAATATTATTTTACTTACCCAGTGTTTTGATCCAATTCCAACTGTTATGCATAGATTACATAATACATATTCCAATATAGAAAGTGGACTGGCGAATATCATGCCTTGCTACATAATGTAATATAAAAAATTATCTAGTAAAAATGCCCTTTCAAATAAATTTAATTCTAATTTTATGTATTTGAACCTTTACAGAGTATGGATTCAATGACAAATATCCACCATCATCGCACATTTTATTGCACTTTAACAATGGTTTAAAATTCATGTTAGCACTATAATAAATTTTAATAAATCCGTAGATATACTGAATTGTATACAGGGTAAAATTATCATTTAACATTTTGATGGAGATTATATTTATTAGTCTATAATATTAACAATGATGATGAAATAAAATAAGTTGATATATTTATAAATAAATATGTACATGATATTACATAAATTTTAAAATATATGTTACATAAAGCAGTTATTATCAAAATTAAAATTATTTATTATTTTTGATGGAAAAATTACTTTATTATAAAATTTATTTTATATATCTATTATTAATCATAATGGCTTTATTAAACCCCACTATTTATGATGTTGTTATTTGTACATTTGCTATATTAAGTTTTCTATTATGTTTAAATTTGTAAAATTAAAATTAATTATCATAATGTAAAAATATCTATGTTTAAACAGGCTTAAAAGAATAACATGTTTATTAAAATAATAATAATAGTAAAGTTATATTCATTAAAAATAAAAATCTAATTTTTTCCAAGTTTTTGAATATATTATTAGTTAACAATTCCAAATCCAATTAAAAATTAGATATTAATTTACATTATTAATAAAATAGCTAATTACCCAAATTAAATTATGCTAATAGTAATAAGATAATAATTAAAATTAATCTCTTATGACAATTAATCGCTACGTTAATATTGTTACTAAATTGTTAATATTTTCAAAATGTTTAATGTTATTAATGTAATTCATTGATCAGTATAACAACTTGCAATTCAGTATAATATCATTATGAGTTATAACAAATTAATCATATTTTTAATTTGAATGTGATGATTTCAAATCTTATGTAAATATTTATTAAATACGTTTAGGTCAAGATTTTTTCAACAGTAATATATTAACAATAAATAATTTCAATAAATATCACAACTATTATCAGGGATAATAGAGTCAAAACACCGGTAAACAAGTCTTGTATGGCATGGAATTGAATGGGACGGACACTACTATCGGTCCGGCGGTCAAATTGACGGACATGTGTCCCATCGTCTTTCCTAACACTTTCCAACTCTAAACTCGTGTCCCAACGCCTATCGGATCGTACAGTCAGCCCCCTTTCGACCAATGCTTTTAAACTGTAATATAAAATAAAATAACATGAAATCACATTATGTCAATTGTATTTAGTTATTTTATCTGGGTCAGTTCTGCCATAAATACATTCAAACAGCAAATTACATTTTAAACACTCGTTTGCGTGTAATTGTAATGATTTTGTTTAAAGGATGGCATAAATACGTGAAGAAATATTTTCTCCGTCCTATTCCAACATTAAATCCCAATTTTGTATTTAAATATTGTTTTGTAAAATACACTGTTTTGCCGGTAGAGGTCAGTACGGCTTGTCGTAATTTTATTGCTTCCCAATTTACCTTAAAATTAAATTTTTGATATAAGTTTTACATTTTTAAATGGTAACCATTAATTAGCTTAACCGATTTAATGTTCTCAATTTCAATAAACTGAACTCTAGGTTGTATTTGTTTTAACAACGAGTCCATTGGTAAATGTTCATCGTTACCGATTTCTCTGTCATACATGTGCCATAGATCAGAGTTATTGCCAATTAATACAGACATATCGGTACTCATTATGTCGGTTATGGAGTTAATAATAGTTGGTTTAACCCTCACTATTGATGTCAATATACCACCACTAAAACAGGCGGCCGTTATTAACGCACTGAACGCCCAGATGTTGGTCATTAAATTCCGGTTAAGTAAGGCTTGATTTACTAAATGTCGAAACATATCTAGTAATAAATCAGTGAATGATTTTTGTTTGTACTTATTATTTGTTTCTGTAAATTAAATATTAAATATTTTTAATATTTGATATTGAAAAATCATTTTATCTAAAATATTATATCTTACCATGTATTTTAAATTTTATTTTATTCATTGTGTATAATAGTGTTGTTATTGTGACAATTGATAATAATAATAAAAGCCATATATAATAATCAAATATTTTAAACATATACAACAGATTTGATTGCGGTGTAAATACTTGGCTTAAAATTACTAGGCTATGTTCATCGGCGTACCATGCTATTAGTGAATATTTATCAATATCCATATCCAACGTCACTGGTGATAGCGACAAATCGAAATTCTAAAATAACAAGTTTAATTAAAATTAATCATTGTCAAATGTTTAACAAATTTAGTAATTTATAAAATATAAATATTGTTTATTCTCTTAAAGTTTTAAGTTTCATATTAGTTTGTTATAATAAAAATTAACTATTTTATTACCATGTGTTTAGTAAAATACTCTTCATGATTTTCGTTAATGTTTAATATTCGTAATGTTATATTAAATAAGCTTGATAATATTTGTAATATATTTGCTTCATAGCTACAAAGCCACTAAAGAATAATGTTGATTATTAAACAATACAATTATTTAAACAATGTTCATAATCGCTTAATGTTATATAACTTACCTCACCATAAACAAATATCAATAATGTATCATTTACAGATTTATCATTTAAATAATGATCACCATATTTATATTCTACACAATCTTTAAGTTCATCAGCCATTAATTAATAAAAATAAATATTTTTAAATAATACTAATAAGTGCTATTTGAAACATTATTCATTTATGACTGTCAAATAAATTATATTGTTTGTGTAAATTAAATTAATGTATTTATCATTATCATGCAATGTATATGCATTTAACAAAAATAGTTATAAACAAATTAATTAACGTAGAAATATTCTTATTTATCTTATTCAATATTTTAATAATAATTCTATGTTAACACCTAGTAACAAATTATTTTGATAATGTTGCCATCACATGTATTAATATTATTTTAGTTACTGTATGTTATAATATTAATGAAAACATTTGTAGATTAGTTTTTCGTTTATTTGGTTAAAGGGAGTATCATTGCTAAAATACATATTTTCTAAATACAAGCAAGCATTTGATAATTACATTCGGAAAAATGTATTCAATCATAATACGTTTGAAAGCAATTACTGTAAAAATATTATAAAAATTAAATTAATAAATAGCGTGTTTTGCTTTCGATCTACATATTGAATATAATCTAATTTAAAATTAATTAAATAATATTAGTAATAATTCTATGTTAACACCTAGTAACAAATTATTTTGGTAATGTTGCCATCACAAGTATTAGTGTACTTACATTATAATGCTGACACAAACATTTGTAGATTAGTTTGTTGTTTATTTGGTTTATGGGAGTATTATTTCGAAAATATTAATTTTCCGAAAACATACTAGCTTTGTTATTCTATTGTTATATATCTAACAACATAATATAATTTTCTGTTATTACTACTGTATTACGGTGTTGTTTCATTTAACAAATTGTTGTCTTAAAATTACATCTATCTATTTAAGAAATCTTTGTCATTTACTTTTATAAACAATAGCTCTAATATTATTATATTATATTAAAACTAAATAGATTATTAATAATTAAATCATAGATAACAAACATAATTGCACAAATTAACTAGATACTTTTCGTAATAACGTGTCAAAACTAGTTGGCTATTTGTGCGCATTTTTATCATAATCTTTGAATATTACTGTAAAGTTCCCGGTTAAGTACACCGGTTAAGTAATTTTTACGATAGACTAACTACAAATTGAAGCATAGAATGATATTTTCAAATTTCCTATGATATTAATTAATTATTATTATTTTTAAGTGCAATTAAATATAAATACAATATATTAAATAGAAAACCAACATTATAGTATAAATTTAAGTATAGGTTTAAATATAAATTTACATTGCTTATATTATTTGCATATTGTGTTTAACATTAATTTAACCACTGCACAAGGTTTATTTATATAATTAAAATTTAAATAAAATTACCAAATCATTTACATTTTATCTGATCAAGTTTTGTATTTTGACAATTTATTTTGCAATTATTTTTAAAAAACTGTAATTTTTCCAATTGCATTGTTTGTAACTTAAATTATTGTCTATTATTTTAATAATCGGATGATTGTATTCCGAAGCATTAATTATTTTATAAACATTCAACATTTTAAATAATAACATTATCATAATAAAAAGTGCATTAATATAATAATTGTTATGCAATAAACTTTAACAACTTTATAACAATTGTTGTGTTAACAATTTTAGCTACATGTTTATTTTAAACAAAATAATAAACATGGTCGCGATTATTTGATTGATTCGTCCATTCATTGCTTATTTAAATCTCAATCAATTAAGTCTATATTGACTATGGTAAATAATTTCAATAAATATCACAACTATTATGAGGGAAAATAGAGTCAAAACACCGGTAAACAAGTTTTGTATGGAATTGAATTGAATGGGACGGACACTACTATCGGTCCGGCGGTCATATGTCCCGTCATTTTCCCTAACAGTTTCCAACTCTAAACTCGTGTCCCAACGCCTATCGGACAGTACTGTTAGTCCCCTCTCGACCAATGTTTTCAAACTGTAATATATAAAACATAACATGAATTTACTTTATATTAATTGTATTTAGTTATATCATCTGGATCAGTCATTCCACCAGTAGTTCTTAAACCAGCATATTACATTTTAAACACCCTTCTGCGTGTAATTGTAGTGATTTTGTTTAAGGGATGGCATAAATAGGTGAAGAAATATTTTCTCCGTCCAATCCCTACATTATATCCCAATTTTGTATTCAAATAATGTTTCGTAAAATACACTGTTTTGCCGGTAGAGGTCAGTACGGCTTGTCGTAATTTTATTGCCTCCCAATTTACCTAGAAATTAAATTTACGATATAAGTTTTACATTTTTACATGGTAACAATTAATTAGCTCAACCGATTCAATGTTTTCAATTTCAATAAACTGAACTCTAGGTTGTATTTGTTTAAGCAACGAGTCCATTGATAAATGTTCATCTGTACCGATTTCTCTGTCATACATGTGCCACATATCAGAGTTGTTGCCAATTAATACAGACATATCGGTACTCATTATGTCGGTTATGGAGTTAATAATTGTTGGTTTAACCCTCACTATTGAGGTCAATATACCGCCACTAAAACAGGCGGCTGTTATTAAAGCACTGAACGCCCAGATGTTGGTCATTAAATTCGGGTTAAGTAAGGCTTGATTTACTAAATGTCTAAATATATCCAGTAATAAATCTGTATATGATTTTCGTTTGTATTTATTATTTTTTGCTGCAAATTAAATATTAAATTTTTTTAATATTTGAAATTGAACAAACATTTTATCTAATGTATAACATCTTACCATGTATTTTCAATTTTATTGTTTCCATTGTATATAATAGTGTTGTTATTGTGACAATTGATAATGATAGTAAAAGCCATATTTTGTAATCAAATATTTTGAACATATGCAATAAATTTGGTTGAGGTGTAAATAATTGGCTTAAAATTACCAGGTTATGTTCATCTGCGTACCAAGCTATTAATGAATATTTATCCAGGTACATATCCAACGTGACTGGTGATAGCGACAAATCAAAATTCTAAAATAATAAAATTAATGAAAATATATCATTGTAAAATTTTTTTAACAAATTTAGTAATTCATAAAATATAAATATTGTTTATCCTCCTAAAGTTTCTAGTTTTATATTAGGTTGTTATAATGAAAATTAATTTATTTTATTACCTTGTGTTTAGTAAAATACTTTTCATGATTTTCATCAATGTTTAATATTCGTAATGTTATATTAAATAAGCTTGACAATATTTTTAAAGTATTTGCTTCATAGCCACAAAGCCACTGATAAAATAATGGTATTGGTTATTTAACAATACAATTATTTAAACATTGTAAAATAATTGTTTTATGTTACATAACTTACCTTACCATAGACAAATACGGATAATGTAAAATTTACAGATTTATCACCTAAATAATGATCACCATGTTTATATTCTATACAATCTTTTAGTTCATCAGCCATTAATTAATAAAAATAAATTATTTTAAATAACACTACCAAGAGTAATTTGAAATGTTATTTATTTATGACTCATCAGCACTGGTTTAGATTTACAAAATCGTGTAAATTTGAAATGACAGTGTTTTGTAATTTATACATTATTCATATGTTATTCATATATAGTGTATACTAGGGATGGGATAATACATGAAAAAAATTTTGCCATGTATTATTCATGTATTATTACATGTATATGATGTATTATTCGTGTATTATTACATACAATGCTTAAGAATAGAAGCTAATGCTAACTTATAGGCAATGTTAGACAGTACATACCTTGCCAGGCCAACTCTTCGAGCATGGTGAAGAGTACCTTGGTGGCACAGCCGCTGAGCGAGGTCAGGTTCTGTGTGATGAGTAGATGCAATAATTTGCTGATATAATTGAAACGCCGGACATCGCGGATGGCGTTACAGAAGTCCAGCTTATAGAAGGCCTCGGAGATGGTGTTATATCCGGCCACCTCTTTGGTGTTTTTGAGTGTCACCTGACAATAGGGCTGCCAATCGGCCTCATTGGCCGTCGCGTTGGTCGTCGTGTCCTTCATTATGGCGTCCGGTATCGGCTGTGACGACGACTTCTGGAGCCGAGCGATAATCTCGGCGATCGTCTCCCGCGGAACCGTATTCTCGTCGTCGGAGTCCGAGTCAGTGGACGAGTCGCCCGAAGACGGGAAGCCACTAATGGGTAGCAAATAAAATGAGTTTTGTTTAGTTTTAATGCATTTTAATTTTCATGTTTTCTATTTTGTGTGCAAACAATACGTGATATCTTATAATAAGCGTTCAATGCCTTCATTTTGGATATAATTATCGACTAATTGTCTTAAGAAATAAGTTTTTATTCACACAAAGAAAAGTTTTCGCAAACTTTTAAAAACTTTTTTTTTGCTGGATTTTTGTGTATATTTTTGTTGTTTAAAATTTTGCAGACATTCGCCAAACACATGACTAACTCGTGGTTTCAGATGTTTATTATGAAACAAAAAGACATTTTTCACTTTAAATACGTATATAATTAAACATCAGATCACAGGACCCTCTGATCAGTGAAGAGATGTTTTTATTTTTATACATTTTCTGTATATTTTGATTACGATTTTTATTTTTGTCTCCAGAAATGTGTGGATATATTTCGAGCCGACACTGAAATGAGATGTCTTTGGCTATAAATACATCACTAATTCATATGCAAAACAAAGGGTTATTTTGAATGATAGCCAAAAACTTCGGGAGAAAGAGATGAGTGAATGTTTTTGATGAGCTTTTGAGAAAAATATTACCCATAGATTGCAAAACAACAATATTTTTCTGTGTCTCTGTATTTGTTATACTTTTAATCGAGTTTTTAAATCAAAGAAAAAGTAATTTTTCAAACATTGAAAAAAATGTATACATTTTTGGCAAACGAACAGAAAGTTTCAATGATTTTTCTCCCGTACATCCCATGTGTGAGAGGACTGGGCTGTGGGTGAGAGGGGGCTGTCAAGAGCTAACCCTCAAAAAGCTCTAACACTTCCTGAAAATGCATCGATCGGTGAATTTTCAAATATTTTTGTCTATCACTCGGAAAACTGTTTCGGATGAGAGAGAGAGAAAGAATTGTTACTAAACTTAAACTTATTTTATTCTCTTCTTCCCAGTCTCTCTCTCACAACTGATGTTTGTTAACTAGATTTGAATCAGTAATCCATTATTAGAGAGAGAGAGAGAGAGAGAGAGAGAGACTGATTGCGTTACGACGAGTGAAATATGTTATAAAAATAATGTATTTCCCATTTTTATTGCATAAACAGAGATAAACCCCAGAGATTTTCGGGACAGAGATTTTCAAGTGATTAGCAATTATTAAGGAGTGGTTTGTTGTTTATGTAGATTTGAAAGACAGCACAAAAACGTCAATTCATTTCCAGACTCTCATTCAAAATCAATATTTCAAAAGTTTTGCAAACTTTGAGATGTATTTGAGTGTTGAAAACCATTGGCAAAAATATCAAATCCCGGGCACTCAACACAGAGTTAAGGGTCGACTAAACCCGATAGGCTTTAAATCCAATTATAAGCCGATTAGTGACAACACATCTAATTATTATTATGTGTTCAAATTATTTATAATTGAATTTACATAATATTTAACAGAAATAAAGTATTTTCTCAGGTTTTCATGAAAATAGACTATTGTTTCACTTTTTAAACCCCAAAAATGGTTGTTTCGCTTGAAATACCGAAAATAGCATAATATTAGCCATAATTTCAAATTTAGATTCAAAATAAGTAGAGATTTATAAAACACTAATTATAATGATTAGTGAAATGTATTTTTAAAACCATAAGTCGTTTGAATGTATTTTTCCACAACTACTGATTTCCTCACTCAAAACCGATACACTATTTACTGTATTTCTATGTACTGTTAAATTGCATATCAATTAAAGCATAAAATATAATTAGTTTTTATTTTTAGGACAAATGAAAATTGTAATTGAATTCAATTAAATTTGACAGATTTTGTTACCACCGTTTTTACTGGAATTGATATCAACTAAAAATAAAGCCTATTATAAACTATATCTCATGAATGGATAGTTTATTATAAATATAAAACAGAGATGTATTTGAGTGCTGAAAACCATTGGCAAAAATATCAAATCCCGGGCACTCAACACAGAGTTAAGGGTCGACTAAACCCGATAGGCTTTAAATCCAATTATAAGCCGATTAGTGACAACACATGAGCTAATTATTATGTCTTCAAATTATTTATAATTGAATTTACATAATATTTAACAGAAATAAAGTATTTTCTCAGGTTTTCGTGAAAATAGACTATTGTTTCACTTTTTTAACCCCAAAAATGGTTGTTTCGCTTGAAATACCGAAAATAGTATAATATTAGCCATAATTTTAAATTTAGATTCAAAATAAGTAGAGATTTATAAAACACTAATTATAATGATTAGTGAAATGTATTTTTAAAACCATAAGTCGTTTGAATGTCTTTTTCCACAACTACTGATTTCCTCACTCAAAACCGATACACTATTTACTGTATTTCTATGTACTGTTAAACTGCATATCAATTAAAGCATAAAATATAATTAGTTTTTATTTTTAGGACAAATGAAAATCCATTAACTTAAGTTAATTTAAACTGTCTAAAACAATGGTGGCAAAAATGACCTTAACTATAGTTGATTTTTATTTCGGATAATATTTGATATAGAGTACTTACCTATCAAATAATATTTATATTTTGCGAAATATAATGCATATTATAAAGCAATTTGAATTCATTTGATTATAATTTTCAGATGAATATTTATATGAAAAATAAAGTAAAATAGTAATAACAATGTCATGAATTATTATAAAATTTTTCTAAAAGTAATTAACTTTTATAAATAACTTAATTTCCAAAAATATCATTTGTATAAAAAATATAATACATATTTGTGTAACAATAAGGTTCTGGCAAATCATGAATAATATCAAAACCGGCATTTCATGTGATGTGTTGTTTTGCATTCAATTTAATATACATTATATCATATAATGTAATAAAACGGGGAATATATGCTATTTTTATACACAAATGCAATGAATAACTTTATTTTGTGGACTCAATAGACATTTTGGCACTCAATCTGAACAGTAATCCCATCACAAATCAGATAAAACATCATATAATGGTATAAGAAATTATTATGAATACAATAGGGGTAGAAAATTCTGGTGAAAAACCTTATACTGTATTCAAATGTCGTCCCAGAAAACAAAACTCTCGATTAATATTATATAAATTATGAGAATTGTTACTAAACTTAAACTTATTTTATTACTCTTCTTCCCAGTCTCTCTCTCTCTCTCTCTCTCTCTCTCTAATAATGGATTACTGATTCAAATCTAGTTAACAAACATCAGTTGTGAGAGAATTGTTATGCAAAATATGTGATGAATTAGTTTTTGCGAAGAAAAACAATGTTTTTCTTTATTTCGCGGCCAAAAAACTTCATTCATTATAATTGTAACCAAAAATATAATACCAATAATTTATCTGAAAATACATTATTTAAACATTAAATAAGTTTCTTTGCATAAAAATAACAAACAAAACACAAAAATACTTAAATTTAGCACAAAATAATTGTTAATCAAACAAAAAATGCACACATTTTCTAAATCATTCAATCAATTCATTAAAGAGATTGATTAAAACTTCGTCCAGAAATCAATAGTTAGTGATTTAAAAGTAATAAATATTTATTCATAAATAAAATGTTTACAAAAACAATAAATCATCGAAAAATGTAATTAAATACATATTTCTTCCGCATATCGAGAGAGAGAGAGAGAGAGAGAGAGAGAGAGAGAGAGAGACCTGAACTCATATTTCGTTATAATAATTATAATTAATTAAAAGTCAATAAAAATAAGCAATAAATGAGTCGTTAAATTAATTGATTTATTAGACTAATTGTCAATAAAATTTCAGATATATTTAGAAATATAATAGAAATTACATTTTTAAATCAGTTGACGATATGTTGAGCCATTGGGATATAAATACATGTTTATTACGGCTAAAAAATATCGCATGAATCACAACATAGGGTTCGAGACATTGCGAGAGAACAGGATCTCCAATACAGAGACACATATTTCGATAGCAAATCATCACTCAATTAACTAATTCCTAGATCTCTCTCTCTCTCTCTCTCTCTCTCTCTCTCGACGAGAAGGTTATTCACACTAAACAACACCAATGATTGTATAGTTTTATAACGTTATAATAATGTATAATATAGTTATGATTTAATAGTGAAGTATGTTTTTGAAGTGCAATCAGTGTTTTGAAGACCTTTTTGTCTGTCATTTGATTCACTGATAAGAAACACAAAAACAAATACAAGTCATTTATTTCACATCTTAACTGACATTTCACTGATTTCTTGTGTAAATGTTGTTTGCAATTGAAATCAACTGATTTTTTTCTATTTTTAATTAGTATTATTAATAAATTTATTTTTATTATATGTTGTGATAAGTTGTTGTGAATAATACAAATGCATAATAAAAATTACACAACCGATTGGAGAGTATTTATTTAAATAATAAAAATTGTTTTAAATTTATTGTTAATATTAGTAACGGAGTTAGATATGTAGCTAAGACACATATTTTAATTTTGTCCTAAAAGTACACTAATACTGAAGCTATCCCACTCATCGATGAAAATCATTGAAAATCTAAAGTCAATTAACCATTAATTATAACTCAATTCAATACGAAATGCACTGAAAATAAAAGACATTTTCATTTTACTCGTAACACAAAGAAAACTAATTATAAAATCAGTGATATTTTTAATTTCAGTTATATTCCACTGAAGATACAGTGTATTCTCTATATAGTGTACATGATATATAGTATTTACCCACAGACCCGATATAATGAACAACAATATTTGAAATAAAATTAATTAATAGCAATTTTTATAAAAATGAAATAATAAACGAGTTAAGTATTGCTGACTAGACATTAATTTCCTAAACATAATAAATCAAATATTGTTGAATATCTCTATAGTGTACGGATTTAGTACAACATATGTGTGTTCACTATAAACGGGTGTTTTTTGTATAATAAAAACACAGTGTAAATGATTTATTATACGTCCCAACCTTGGAGTTTGAATAAAATTAATACTTTTTGATTTAAAATAAATACATTTATTAAATACATTTTATCAATTTGTAAATCATGTTTCATTTTTCATAACAAATCTCGTTATATGTGTTAAGTTTTTTTTGTGTAACAAATATTTGTGACAAAATTACTAAAACACACAAAAAAAACTTTTCCTACATTTTGTTATCAATTCGGGTCTTAAGTGTTAAAACATGATAAATACTTAATATGTCCCGCAATCGCAGACCATAAACACTCACACATAAAGGAAATGCAATTTAAAATAATTAAACAGCAAAATGAGAGTTAAGACAGTAATTA